TGGGGTGGGTGTGGGGCGGCACTGTTGTCCTGTAAGAAGTCGGATCCCAGGGCCAGCTCTCAGATTGTGGCTACTTGGGAAGCCCACCTGCAACACCACTGGGAAAAGCCTGGAGAACTTGGCTCAACAACCTAGTAATTCCTGCTCACCAGTAGTGGCACTAGGGGTCAATGCCACGGTTTTTCTGCTGGTGGTGTTGCCCACTGATACTGTCCCAATTCATTAGAATACAGTAAAACCCAGTGGGTTTAGGCTCCAAAAGCGGCATCAACCACACATAAAGCAGTACAGTTAAAGAAGTGCCAGCGGAGAGGGAGACAGGAGGTAGACCCTACCTTGAAGATAAGTAGTGGGTGTCAGGACGCAATTTGGAAAGGTTCCACAGAGAATATTTTAGAACCATCCTTTCCTCACCATTTAGGAATTCAAGTCCTCAGCAGCCCTTTCCAGGATCAATGGTGTATTTAATGGGCTCTTCACTAAGTCTGGCTCCTGCCATGTACTAGGTTCAGGGGATGAGAGGCTAACCCAGCCCTAGAGACAACTTGCACAAGGCCTTCCCAGTACCAAAGAGGCGCTACTCGTTTAGCCTGGATTCAAAAAAGCTTTCTCAATTCAAGCTTGCAGCATCTTAGTGTTAAGGGCAAGAGCAGACCAGAGCTAGAAAGGTTAAAAGAATATTTTAAGACAGGTTACATCACACCGGTCACACCACCATGTCACATGTGACCACAAACCAAGCAGCTGAATATTTTATATTCAGTTGTTATGTAGATGGAATGCAAGATGAATTAGTGGAGATCACTTTTCCCCTGAACTTCAGACTCATGAAACTAACTTCATTAATGCCTGATCCGATTGAATATTTCCCAAAGAGAACTTTACCCACATAACCATATACTCCAAACCTGCTTCAACAGAAGCCTTCCCTATCCCATTCAGTCACTTGCTCAGACCAAAAAGTAGTGCTCTTAGTGCCTCTCTTTCCTTCTTACCTTCCATCTAATGCATTAGCTAGACTTGGTCTTACGAGTATAACTGGAGCCTGACCACTCCTCATCACTTACCATCCAAATCCACACCACCATCATCTCCTGCCTGGAACAGCAGTCTCCTGGCTTCTACTCTTTGACTCTCCTAAGATAGGTCTATACAGCAGCCACATTGATCTTTGAAAAAGTCACCCTAACTCATCTCAAAGCCATCTAATACACTCTTTTTACACGCCATGTCCTGATCTTGATCTAGCCACTACACATCTTGATTCTAACAGCCCTCATTGCTGTTTATCTCTGCCTTCTCTTCTGAATTCTGTATATCTGGGAGATGGGCAAGTAGATCCTCTGCAACTGTCAACTGTGCCTAGGGAAATAGTCACATAGTACAGACATGCCTGCTGGGGATTGTCCCTATGTATACTGTGAGCTGAAATGTAACCCTAAAGAAGGCTACTGAATAGCCTACTCCTTGGCTGCCCACACCCCTCCCCCACAGCACATACCTGTTTATGTGTTCTAGCTATCACAAGTACATATTTAGTCACACTTACCTTCTCACATAGTTTTTTTTATGAAGCCTCTAAGTAATATCTAGATTTTTGTGTCTTCATCTAATTCAGTTATACAGTCATTGAACTCATTGATAAAGGGGACTTCTATATATCTGATGAAAGAACTAATGGAAGAAATGGAAGAACTGAGATAGTAAAACTTCAATACAAAGTATTGCTCAAATGGTGAAAAGATGAATTTTCAACTTAACCACCACAAATTAGTTGGCAGTCCAGAATGTAAACCACCTCCTACTGAAAGGGGGCTGTAAGTGGAAATACAGGATTAGTTAATCTTCCATCAATTTCCCCCTTTCTTAAGTAACAGGATGTAATGTGTTCCCTGGTCATCCCATCTGAGTAGTCCAGATTCTGTCATCTGAGTGCATGCCCTCGTCTGGTGGGCATCTGCAGATGCGGTCTCTTTCTGGGCCTGCACATTGCCAGCATTGTGTTGGTTTGAGTTAGTCACAATTTTTCATGTGTTCCTAACTGGTAATTTTTCTAAAGATTTATTTATTTATTCATGTAGAACTGGGGTACAGGCCAGAGATGCGAAGGGTGAGAGGATTCACCAGAGACAGAGTGGGGAGCAGAACAGGCAGATGGACAAAGTACACTGCTGAGGGAAGCAGCGGGCAGGTCAGGAGAGGTCTGCCACGCCATGTGGATCTCCTCCTGGGCAGGCGGGAATCGAACTCTTGCTGAAGTGGCTTAAGCTTCTTAATGCTGTGCTTTAACCCGCTGCACCACCAGGGAGGCCCCCTAACTGGTAATTTTTTTTCTGCAATTTTATTCTGTCAAGCCTTTCTTTTCTTTTTTTAATTTTAATTTTTTAAAAAGATTTATTTATGCATACAGAACTGGGGTACAGGCTAGAGGTGGTGAGAGGATTCACTAGAGACAAATTGGGGAGCAGAACAAACAGATCAACGAAGTACACTGCTGAGGGGAGCAGCAGGCGATCAGGAGAGGTTTGCCGGGGATCAAACTCATGCTGAAGTGGCTTTAGCTTCTTAGTGCTGTGCTTTAACCCACTGCACCACCAGGGAAGGCCCTCTGTCAACCTTTCTTCACTACCAGTTTTATTTCTGAGGATATTTGTTAAATTCGATGAATTCTTAGACCTGTTAAATCCTGAGGATTCTAAGACTATAGAGAGCCTTGCTGAGCTTCACTGTTCTTATTTATTTATTTATTTATTTATTTATGCATACAAGAACTGGGATACAGGCCAGAGGTAAAGGTGTGGGGTGAAAGTGCCACAGTGGCTACAGACAGCTTCTTAGTGCTGCACTTTAACAACCCTTGTGCCACCAGGGAGGGGCCATGATCCCTCATTATTCATAGTGTCAGCTACTGATAGAGACCAGTAGACTCTTCCTTAAAATGCCAGCCCATATGCTACACCTATCTCTCCCTCATTGTTTTAGTCTGTACTGTCCCTGAATTCAGATCAAAGGCTAGCAAGTCATCCAAATGTATTTGATCCATGAAATCAGATAATGTGCAATAAGTATTCAGAGAGTGAGATGTCTGTCTATGCAAAAGCCTCTAATGTGACTCTACCATTGCAGAAAGTTGTGTGCATTTATAATGTGGAAGAGTAAAATGAAGAGCCAAGATCTTGTAGAAATATGACGAAGAGGTTTTTTAGCAGGAAAGGCCACTAGGTGGAGCCTATGTATCATCAGCACTGGAAACAAACAGGCTGTTGTCACTCCCGCTGTTTCCCAGCTGCCAACACCCTAGAAACCTAGACTTGGGAGTGCAGCTCAGACAGGCATAAGGTCCCCAACGCAGACAGGCATTGGGCTGGGGGGAAGAGGGGATCGTGCCTAGCTATCAGCAACCTGACAGTTCAGCCCAATGCAGAGTACCTGTCTGAAGTTCCAGTTTTACACAGGAAAGGGCAAACACTGCAGAAATAATGTCCAGATCTCATACTAGGGGCACTGTGTGCTGTATCAAATGTTATTACTTAATTATTTGATCTACCTGACATTTTTTAGCCTGTACTTTATAAATTTAAATGTCCAGTTTTTTGTGTTCTTTAAGTAAAATACATATTGTTCTGTCAAAGTAGATTTTTGGCCTGAGGTAAATAAAAAATTGGGTGCTTTCCCCATTTTGATCATAGGGAGTTTTGTGATAATATGGGAATATATTTGAAAGTATTGAAAATTGTAAGTGTGGTATTGATAAACAAAGTGGTAGGCCCATGGAATGAAATAGATATATGGAGACAAACCCAGATCTAAGTAATAAATATATGAAAAGAGATCTTAAGTTAGTAGCTAACCATTATGGAAGTTAGATCCCTATCATACTTTTAAAATTATATAAATTACATATATTTTTTAAGATTTATTGACTTATGCTCACAGAACTGGGATATAGGCCAGAGGTGTGGTGGGACAGAGTGGGGAACAGGACAGGCAGATCCACTGAAATAAACTGCTGAGGGGAGCAGTGGACAGGTCAGGAGAGGTCCACCACACCATGTGAGTCAGCTCCTTAGCCAGGGATTGAACTGGTGCTGCAGTGGCTTCTGAGAGCTTCATAATGTGCTTTAACCCATTGTCCCACCAGGAGAGCCCCTGCATATTAATTTTTCATGCAAAAAATAAGATCTCATTTTGGAAGAAAATACAATATTTTCTAAACAAGTTGTATGCCCCTTATCTAAGACCAAAAGCCATAAAATTGATATGATTTCATCAAATAAAACATTTAAACATTCTGTATATCAAAGCAATACCAAACCAGCCTAGTGGGGTCTTGAATTTCTCAGTCAGAATGCAATGTAACTTTTCTGTGATCTTTGAAGAATTCTGCCTGGCTCTATTTAACACCACCACCATAATTGTTAATTTTTGACACTTATATCACAAGTGGTACTTTCCACTAATTGTTTTTCGTCACGAGCCCTGTCCCCTTTCACACACACACAAAAAAATATTAAAAAGTTAAAAGACCATATTTATGACTGACAAAAGATTAATATTCTGAATACACAGAAACCTTTTATAAATCATATGAAAACTAGTAAATATTCCAATAACAAAAATAGCCTAAGAAATCAGTACCAGAAAATAAATGGAAATGCCACATTATGGTATGTTGTACTCATAATTATAGGAGACGATCCTCTTCTCTCTGCACTTCATGTTCTTTCTTTTGATAGTCATGTAATCTTCTGTCCTAGCTGTGACTTTGTTTTAAAATCAGGTAGGCAGATGCTTTCTTCTTTTTCAAAGTTTTCTTTACTGTCCATTTACATTTATTCTTCCAAATAATTTTTTGGTTCTTGGGCACTTAAAATGTGTTATTCATACGTGCTATAAGCACAAAATACACTGGGTTTCATAAGACACAGTGAAAAGAATAAATAAACAATTTTTAATACTAATCAAATGTTGAAAGGATATTCGAGGTATGTTTGGTTGAATACAGCATATTTTAAAACTAACTTTACCTCTTATTTTGCCTTTTTTATGAGGTTCTTAGTTGTTTCAGCTTTACCTGTGGTTCGCTTTGGTGGTTTCTATTTGCTTCTGTGCAGCAGTGCTGATCTCAAGCACCCAGCAGTGACTTGCATACAAGAAATGTTCTGAAACCAGTGGATTCTTGAAATGAATGAAAAGCAGCTGCTAGCCCATTTTGTTTCCTCTCAGGAGTTTTTCTCTTATTCTCTCCACTTTTTCTTGGTTGGTAGGGAGCAGGGGTACTAATACTTAATGTATGAACACCAAGAGCTCTTAGACTGTTGAACAAGAAGCACTCAAGGAACCGTGTACCACTAAAACTTGTACCAGTAAATGGTAAAAATAAATCATTGTTTCAAAGCTAATTTAAAAATTAAAAGTGTTTCTATTATAGTAAACTAAATGAGGAGCATTAGAATGGGCAAAGAAATGTTCAATGTATGTTTATGGCCAAATTAATAGCAAACTGAAAGGTCAGAGAAGGTTTAACTGACAGGCTGGTAAGAATTTGAAATTGGGAGCAGCTGGTTAATTTCTCCCTTTCTGCCTCATTTCTTCCTTTTTTTCCCTTGCTCTCAGGTTTCTTCCCAACATTTCTCTCTACTTCTCACCTTCATGTATCTTTCTCTCCTAATTTATTTAAATGCTACATTAAAGCACACTTAAATTATAGGTTGCTCATTTATTATTTTAATTTGCCCCCAAATTTATATAAGAGATAAAATATGACATCGTGATCTACAAGTTTTTACATCTAACCAGAGAAGTATTTCTTGAATACACCACTGTTTTTCTTGTCAATTTCTAGTGACAGTAGTAATTGTCATTGCTGAGAACTTACAATATAAAAGGCAATGTTTTGTGAGCTTGGTATTTAAATTCCTGGCTGTGTTTCTTAAAGTTTTTCCTCATGGTTAGGCATATAGCTGATTTCATTTATTTTATAAGTCATCTAAAAAATATAAGGGAAGTTGCTTTTTGTACTTCAGTCCCATATTTTTTCTCCCTGAGAGTTTAGAATCTCATAAAAGCAAGTTTCCTGTCTTATACTTTAAGATTGGTGGAGGAGTTATGGAGACTAAGAAATTACACTCTTCTATCTCTCACCAGGGCTGTTACTCACAGGTGCCTTTCATGTTACAGAAAAGATGGAGAAAAGGACTTGCGCACTCTGTCCCAAAGACCTTGAATATAGTGTTCTATACTTTGCGCAATCAGAGAATATAGCTGCTCATGAAAATTGTTTGGTAAGTTACTTGAAAATTCATGAATCTTTTTAGAGGACAGACCAAGACACATAAATGCTACTTTGGACACAACAAATGACGATTTGGCTATAGTTTGGGCTTTTAAGTGGATAACATATCTGTCTAATTTTTTTAAAAGTTTCAATTTTTTTAAAGTTATCACTTTTTAAATTTTTACTTAACAACTGCTCAAATGCACAAAAAATTATGATGAAACATCTTTAAGGATATTTTGATGAAGTATTTCCATTGTAACAGATACTTGTAGATATTTCACACAGATTTATAAAATTATGATCTTTGCTGAAGCTTGATTTTGATTTTGATTTTTTTAAATAAAACAGATTTAGTTAAGGACTGTTTTTTTTTATTAAAAAGTTTATTTTTACATCATTTTGCACTTTTTTTTTCATCTCAATTTTTTTAATTTTAGTTAAGGACTCTTTACTCTGTTTTGCTCTTTCCATCTCTTCCCAGAGGTAATCACCATAACAAATTTGGTGTTTCTTGTTATCTTGGGTTTTTAATTTTATGCTTTCATAACATGTATTTAAATATAAATAAGAAATGATATTATTTTAGATGCTCTTTGACTTTATATACTTTCTTTTGAATACTATAGATTATTGAGATTCCTCTATGTTGTGAAACATAAATTTTTAATTTTATAAGTAGTACTCCACCTTTTGACTATATCATTACTAACTTATTTTCCTGTGACTATGCATTTGGCATTTCCAGTCTTTTTATATGCCTGACCAGCTGTCATGAGCATCCTTGTATAACAATGCTAATTCACAGGAGAATTATCTGGTTTAGGGCACAAAACTAACATAAAACATAAAAGCAGAACCTCTGGGCTACAGCGGAGGGACGGAACAGTCACACCTTACTTAGTGAGTGGACTTGTTCTCCAAAAGGATTTAACAGATTTGACTTCTACTGATATTTCAGAGTTCATTTCTTTTCTTCCTTGTGAACACTTGATATTAAGTGAGATTTTCATTTTTTCCTCTCCCATGGATATGAAATGGCCTCTTACATTTGCAGTTCCTAGATTACTAGTAGGGTTGCACCTGGTTTGCTGTGTTTTTGTGTTATTGGAAAACAACCTCTTTCTGTGAATTGTGTTCATAGCTTACACTTTCTTTGATATTTGGTTTTGCATATTTGAACTTATATACAAATAGATTCTAATGTATGCTGGGCTTTAATTTTATTTATGGTGTTTTCTGTCAGACAGAAAAGCATGTAATTAAATTCATCATGATATTCCTTTATAATTTGTAGAGTCCCCTCTCATCGAGGAATTCTTATATTAAAGTGTTACCTTTTTTCCAGAAGTTTTAATTTTACTTTTGTCATTTAGTTTCCTAATACTACGAAATTTATTAGGACTACTTTTTTGATCAAGTGATTAACCATTCTTCTGGGCTGCTTTATAATGATAAAAGTAATTATTATTATTATTATTATTCATTGTTTGCTTGCTATCTGTAAGAGTAATGTTCTGGGAACTTAACTTATATTAAACTATTAATTCTTACAACATCCCTGGAGGTAGATATTATTATTATACCCAAAGTACAACAACTGGAGAACAGAGAAATTAAGCCACTTGCACAAGGTCACATGGCTGGCTGTAAGTGGCCAAGCCAAGATTCTTATCAAAGCTGTCTAGTTCTAGAAGGCTCATGCTTCCCCAGTGTGCTGATAACATGCTGTATCATGGGCACACATATCTGTCTCCAGCTCTATTCTAATCCATTGATCACTTCATTTATCCCTGAGCTAGTATGACACTATTGATTACTGTAATTATATAATAAACCTGGGGTATAGATTTTGTTGATTTTAACTTTAGAATCAATTTAGCAGGTTTTAATTCCTGTTGGAATTTTAAATATACAAGACTTTCTATCCATTAACAGGATCTGTTTCTCCAGTTATTCGTTTCTGTCTTTATGAATTTCAAAAATGTTTAATAATCTTTTTCTATAGAAGTCTAAAATTTTGGGCTGTCTATTCCTGGGTTGTTTTGCTACATTTTTCCTAAGACCCTTTTTAATATGAGGTATTATGTGGAATGTAAACTTTAAAATTGACATATGTAAATATTATGTATTTTATTCATCTTATCTAACATTCTTGCCAAACTTATGGTTCTACAAAATCTTTAAAGTCACCTGTGTATTTTATCTGTCCATACTTATCTATTAATATGGACATTTTTTCCCTTTAATTTTTGGAATTTTTTAAAAGGTTTTATATATGCATACACTACTGGGGTACAGGCCAGAGGTGGAGGGGCATTGAAAGGATTCACCAGAGACAGAATGGGGAGCAGAGCAGACAGATCAACAAAGTACATTGCTGAAGGGAGCAGCGGGTGAGACAGAAGAAGTCTACTGCACCCTGTGGATCACCTCCAGGGTCAGGGATCAAACCCGCACTGAAGTGGCCACAGCAAGCTTGCAGTGCTGCATCCTAACCCATCATGCCACCAGGGAAGACCCTGGAAGTCTCAATTTCTTTCATTTTATTGCACTTTTCTAAATCATTTTGTTATAATGGCAATTAGAAACATTTAAAGAAAAACTCATTTCTTATTATATGGATATGATGCTTTTAAAGTCTTTATTAATACTTTAAAAAATACTGTTACTTTATTGAAAGGAAATTTTCTTTCACTTCTAGTTTTCTAAAAGTTAGAACATTGAGTATTATTAAATGTTTATTACCTGATTTATTATAATGATTTTCTAGGTTCTTCCCCTCTCTTTCTCTGGCCACGCACAATGTTTTATTTTTTTGCATATACAATTTGATGGTGTTTTAAAATCTCAGACATACAGAAAATGTCCAAGTAATGTATAAAGACTATTTTTTTTTGTTGGAACCATTTGAAATTAAATTGGGAATAAGAGGCATTTTTTTTCCTGAGTATTTTCCTTGCAAACAAGACATTCTCTCACATAATCACATATAACCTTCAAATCAGGAAGTTAACACTTTACTACCACCTAATCCTCAACTTTCTCAAGCTTCACCTATTGTCCTAATAGCTTTATAACAAAGGATCCAATTCCTGGGTTGCCTTTGGTTTTATGTTTCAGACTTCATCCTTTTACTTTGTGCTTATTGATTTTCTTCTATTACACCATTCTTAGGTTTTGTTCATGATATTTTATTCTAATGTACTGTTAATCTCAATTTACTGTTTTTAATTAACTATTGATATAATTTACATGAAACAAATGCTCCCATTTTAAGTGTACACTTGAGAGAGTTCTAAAACATGTTCTTACCAATGCAGCCATCACCACCATCAAGATAGAGAACACGTCCATTACCTCAGAAGTTTTCCTTGTGCTGGCTTGCAGTCATTTCTTCTCCAGCCCTACTTCCTATGGGTCAAGCATGTTGTTTCTAAAATCTCATATGAAAAGAATTCTGCAGTTATGTATTCTTTTGTGTCTGGTTTATTTTGCTGAACACAGTATATAAAGATTCTTCTATGTTGTTATGCACCTGTACTTTTTTAATTTCTGCATGGTATTCCATTGAATAGATATGTCATCTTTGTTTATTCTTTGGTAAATATACTTGTTATTTCCAACTTGTGGGTATTAGATAAATCTACTATGACCATCTGTATGGTCATACTATGACTATGAATCTGTATGTGGACAGATTTCTCTTGGATGAATACCTAGAAGAGGAATGATGGGCCCTCAGGGTATACATTTAACTTTAAAAGTGATTTCAGGCCCTCCCTGGTGGCGCAGCGGGTTAAAGCACAGCATGAGAATCTAAAGCCACTTCAGCATGAGTTCGATTCCCACCTGCCTGGGAGGTGACGACATGGTGTGGCAGACCTCTCCTGACCCGCCCACTGCTCCCCTCAGCAGTGTACTTCGTCAATCTGCCTGTTCTGTTCCCCACTCTGTCTCTGGTGAAGCCTCTCACCGCCCCTGAGCCTCTGGCCTGTACCCCAGTTCTGTATGTACAAATAAATAAATCTTTTAAAAAAAAAGTGATTTCATCATACTTATATTAACAATACATAAGGGTTTTGTTTGCTTCACACTCTTATTGGCACTTGATATTTTCAGTCTTTTTAACTAAATCAAGTGAGGTTTTCATTTACTTGAGATTAATGATATTAAGCAACTTTATCATGGCTTATTCACCATTTATATGTCTCCAGGTTTTGGGGTTTTTTTTTTTTTGCCTGTTTTAAATTTAATTGTTTTTCATAGTATTGAATTATAAGAGTTCTTCCTATGTTCTTGATGCAAGTCTTTGGTCAGATACACATCTTACAAATATTTTCTCATTCTCTGGCTTGCCTTTTTGTTCTCTTAACATGTTCAAAAGCTTACTTTTGATAAAATCCACCTTTTTCCTTTTTGCTTCTGCTTGTCTTAAAGAATTGTCATTGTCAATGTCACAAAATTTTCCTTTTCTGTTTTTCATGCACTTTGTAATTTGAATATATATGTGATGTCAACCTTCAAGTTCTAAAGTAGATTGGATTTTTTGGGTTTTCAAGTAACAGAGAAATTTGGGCGAACCTAAACCTCAACATAGGGTTTTTTTTGTTTTTTTTTTTTTTATAAGATTGCGGGGGTATTCCATGACTCTTGACAGCAGGCATGTGGGCAGGACTAAAATGCAGGAGCTGGAAAGTGGCCAGGACATCCTGGAATGTCGTCTCTACATGCGTTTTTGTTTCTCTCTCTTTGCAGTTTGTCCTGATCATGTGGCTTAGCCTCTATTACTTCCTCCTAGGACAGGGAGTGCACTTGTCCCCGCTGAGAGGCAGGGCCCAAACCAAACCAAGTTAGCCATTTGGTATCAGGGTTATGCATCTAAACCATGCTTGGGGGACAGGCCACTCCCAAAGGAAAGCAAGGATGGCTTGTGATCTGTTCACAGACCCCATTAGGTAGTCACGGCCACTGGTGGTGTAGTTTTTGGTATCATTTTCTGACATAGCTGTCAGTATAATTTTGCACACAATCTGGGTCTTTCCTTTTCTCATTCTGCAGCTGTATTCTTCAGCACTTGTGGAGTGTGAGGATCATGAATCTCATAATGGTGACAGAAGTTTTGATGTAGAATCTGTAAAGAAGGAAATCTATAGAGGAAGGAAGTTGGTAAGTATAAACAACTTTATTACTCACACAAGATGAACAGACTCTCGGGGAATATTTTCAAAAGAGTCTATTTGAATCATAAACCAGGGATAAAGATGCATTTTGGAGAGCTAAAGAAGTAGATCCTATCTTAGAAACTTTCGATTTGATGAACATTTAACATCTTGAAACAAACTGTATTTTTCTTTATCAGAAAAACAGGTATGACTTTTGGCTATAAGTAGAAGATACCCTAACTCAAATTGGCTTCAACAAAACGATGCTTATTTTTCTGTCACTTAGCTACAGAAAAAACCGGGTTCAAGTTTGTTTGAGTCAGTGGTTTAATGATAGCATCAAGAGACCATTATTTATTCTGTCCTCCTGCATACATTAGCCTGGTTATAGGGTGGCTGATGCAGCAACTGAAGTGTCAGACTTTCTGGTTCTTATCTAGGGAAAGAGAAGGTTCATCCCCAAGCATGGAATAAGAGCCTCCCGAAAGTTTAATTTTGCCACCTCTCTCTTCCTAAACCAATTGCTAGAACTACCATAACTAGTTGAGGTCTTTCTTTGGAGCTGGGGATCAGCTCCCTTGAGGAAAGAAGAATGTTGAGATACAGTTGCCCTACTGTGTCCATTACAGTAGACTCCTCTGCGAAGAGCCTCACACTTAACAAACCCATACAGCAAGTGTGAGCACCTAAAGCTGTTACCACTGCAGCATAAGGTTAATTTCTTAGAACAAATATTTATTTAGTCCTTGCAAGATGTCAGCATACAAGTGAGCAGTTTCTGCACTACCTGACATGCTTTCAGAGGGTCCAGCACGGGTACTCAGCAAGCAGCCACCTCACCACAGTTGAGGCTTAAGGAGCATTCCTCGTTGGGGCGAAAGGTAAATATTAAGATGAGGAAGGGGGAATTCTAGAGAGGGAACAGGACATGCAAAAGTGTGGAAAGCAAGAAAAACAACTATAAGACATGGTTCCTCATTGCATTTTCTTTACTGAGAAAGTCCACATGGAATTCAGGATGCCCCAGAATGCATGAAGCCTTCCCTTGTTAGCTTATGACTTAACTTTGGTTTTTACTGTAACAACTAATGCTGCCATAATATCTTTGTCCATATATCCTTGACTGTTTGAGTGTTGTGTAGAGCACATTCCAAGAAGTGGAGCACCAAGTCACCACAATTCCCATTAAAAATTTTGCAACATGCTAACAAACTGTCTCCCAGTAAGGTTGCACCACTCTATACTTCTGTACATAGTGAAGCCATTTGTATTTCTTCTCTTGCCAGTTCCCATTTTTCTGTGGATTATCAGTCTTACACCTTTATCAAGTATGCAGAATTTTATTTTTGAATTTTTCAGATCTGCCACCATAAAAATAGGAGTTTAAATTTTTTATAAAATTAAATCTATCAATCCTTGGGGGCAGAAAGGGAACTTCTGGTTTTCTGTCTTGCTTCGAAAGTACCATACTTTTTTTTCTTCTATGACTTTATTTTTTAACATCATTAGAGCTTTAATCCATGTGGAATTTATTTAAGGATATATTGTGAGATAGGGATCTAACTTTATACTTTCTACACTTATAGCCAAATGGCTCTGATTTAAAATATCTCCTCAGCATAATCTCTCAGCCATATTTTTTATCACATTTGTTTGTACTGTCTTTGAGTATCATGTGAGCTACCTACTGTTTTGCAAGATGGTTCCATTGTACCACCACTCCATTCAGCCAGTGCATTATGCAAATCAACCTTCATTGTGGCTGTGGGTCCCCTAGTTAGGTTTCTGTGGTCACATACTGCCCTCCTAGCCAATTTCTACATCACCTTCATACTTAAAACATAGAATAACACAGGAAAGCAAGAGATCAAATAAACTGAACTAAGAAAAATCTTATTACTCAAGGTGTTTTTATTTTGGCCCCCACTATATACATTTTGTAGAGGTTTTACCTACCTTAGCACTGTCCTTAGTAGTGACTCTAAGGCATGGTTACCCCCAGGAAGGAATCTGGATCTAAGAGAGGAAGTGACTGGCTGGAGATCTTACTGCTCTTAGTGGTGCTGCCCTAGCAGGACCCTTTGCTTCAAGCTGGCCAATTTTGTAACTGTGCTTTTAGAAATCTCTTAAAAGATTTTTTTTTTAAAGATTTATTTATTTATTCATACAGAACTGGGGTACAGGCCAGAGGCTCAGGGGCGGTGAGAGGCTTCACCAGAGACAGAGTGAGGAGCAGAACAGGCAGATCGATGAAGTACACTGCTGAGGGAAGCAGCGGGCGGGCCAGGAGAGGTCTGGCTCGCCATGTGGTCTCCTCCGGGGCAGGCGGCAGGCGGGAATCGAACTCATGCGGAAGTGGCTTCAGCTTCTCAGTGCTGTGCTTTAACCCGCTGCGCCACCAGGGAGGGCCAAAAGATTTTTTTTTTAAACAAAAATGTTTTTCTGCTTTTAATCAGGTCATTACAAAACAGTCCGGCCAAGCGTTTGAGTTCGCTGAGATTTTGTTGAGATTTCAAAATGAGGGGCAAATAGTGTTTAATATTTGTAGCTGAGGAAGTTAGGTGTTCTGACTTAAAAATAAAAGTTAATGACATCTTTAACTTCAAGTTTTAACAGATTATGAAAAACAAGTGCTTACTCTGTAAAATCTATTCTCTTATAGACGTGCAAATTTTGTCATAAAAAAGGAGCAACTGTGGGATGTGATATAAAAGCCTGTTCCAAGAATTACCACTTTTTCTGTGCCAAGAGTGACCACGCTGTTCTACAAACTGATGGATCTCAAGGAATTTATAAGTATTTAATAAAACAGGTTTAACATCACATTTGGGGTTGGAACAAGTATATTAACACAAGTTGTTATTTAAAGTTAATATTATGCAAATGGTTTCTGGGTGAGAGTATGTTTACAGGATGTTGACAACCTGACTTTACAACACCTTCCCTAAATATCAGAGTGAAAATAGGCAGGGCTGGTTTTGATCTTCCTACAACCTTTCTTTCATGTTAAAAAACATTGGTTTCCTAGTGGCGGCCACGAGACCAAAGACCTGACTTGTTAGCCACAGGCCAGTGGTAAACACCCATCTTGCCTCCCAGTGAATGTGCTTTAGCCACCCATCACCATTACTTACTAAACTTGCTGTCCATATTTAAACAAACCCTGCTTGTATTTAAACCTTGTATCATGTCTTTCAATAATTTTGTTATGTTAATTTTGACCAAGTAAGGCATATTTCAAGTCCATATTTCTTCTTCAGGAAGAAACGATCTGTCTTCTGATGAAATCTTTCAGTTGTTGTATAATTATACAAGTTAGTCACAAGAAATCAATAAACTAATTGTTAACTGAATTGAATCAGGTTCATTTTTACTTAACTTTTTTGTATAGAGATGCAGCCTAAAATATGAACTATTATCAGAATTTTGAGTCAACACTTGCTCCTTCAGAGAGCATGTTGACCTTTCGAAGGTCTGAGAGCAGAAAAGACATCTGGCAGGAGCTCCATTCAGAGTGTGGGTTATTATTTACACGTTTGAATAACATATTAACAAATATTTCAATGAAACCATGAAAAATAGGTTAGTTCCTTTTAAATATCACAGGGAAGTAGGTATATTTGAAAAGTGTACATAAAAATACTTGATTCTTTGAAATTGCATATTTTCAGAGTGTTTTGCCGACAACATGCTGCATTGAGAGGCATTCAAAATGGTAAGTCTCAGCCCTCCTTGGTGGCACAGTAGTTGGGAGTTTTTTTCTGTCACATTTAATACTATAATTACAACTCTTTCCACCTTTGTGCCTTTATGCAAATGTACTATTAGGAAATCTTCCTGTAATTACATTGCTGGGTCAATGATTATAAACAATGAAACTTTGGGTAACTATTGGCTTTCTTCCAAAAGGCAATACCAGCAGTCCACAACTTCTCAAATCCTTGCAAACATATCTTAAGTATTTTCATTTTTGTCAATCTGATCAATGAAAAATTAGTTTGCATATCTTTACTGATGAGTGAAATTAAGTGTATTCCCCTCTTTTGGTCATTTATTTTTGCATTTCTAAGGCCAAATGTATGTTTTTCTATTAAAGAGGGTTCCCCATTTTGCCCATTTTTCTACTGAATTTTTTTTTCATGTTGATTTCTAAGATTTTTTTTTGTTTTAAAAATTCTTTTTTAAAAAGATTTATTTATTTATACACATAGAACTGGGGTACCGGCCAGAGGCTCAGGGACAGTGAGAGGATTCACCAGAGATAGAGTGGGGAGCAGAACAGGCCAACTGATGATGTACACTGCTGCGAGGAGCAGCAGGCAGGTCAGGAGAGGCCTGCTGCGCCATGTGGGTCACCTCCAGGGCAGGGGATCGAACTCATGCTGAAGTGGCTTTAGCTTCTCAGTACTGTGCTTTAACCTGCTGCGCCACCAAGGAGGGCCCTAAAAATTAGCCTTTTTATCACAAGGATGATGAACACTTATTCTGAGTTTATCATGTACCTTTTGACTTTGATAAATTTAGCCATAGAAGTTTTATATTTACATGGTCACGCATCAATTTTTTCCTTTCTGGACTCTGGTTTCTGTATTATATTTCCAGATAAACTTTCAGGAGTGAAAAGAAAAAGAATGAAGAACTGCCTCTCATCAAACATTTGTGTACAGGTAATTTTACTACAGCTTTAAATTTCTTCATACAGTCTTTAATCAATTCTGAATTTCAGGTGAAATGGTAGAACTATAATAAGATGATATTAACAAGTTGAAGTTGAAAGTGTCTTGAATACTCAAGCACACAAGTTTCAGAGGTTGACAGTCCCACAGTCCTTATAACTTAACTTATAGCACTAAATTGGTGGGAGGGCCTGCCCCCACAATGTATTTATGTTCTTTAAATGGCACAGTGCATTCTTAACTTAGCTTACCAAATGAGTATTTTCCACCTGCATGATCTACTTGACCTAACTTATAATTCTTATTTTTTCAATTATTATTATATATATGAAACATATGAAAATGTTTCGGGGATTTCAAAGTTTTTTACATATCAGCTTATATGAACTAAATTAATATGAGCCAGCAACTTTCACCTCTTTTTGTTTACAAGATGCTTATATCCCTTGATGTTTTGTCATACAGAGCACAAGTACATTTGGTGTTTACATCTACAGATGAATAGGAAGCATGATTTTTACAGGATATCATTGAATTATACACAATGAAAGTTTGGTTTTCATATAAGACAATATTAAATGTCAACAGTAAAACTGGTATAATCTTTTTATCCCTCTTCTAGACACCTGCAGAAATGACAATCAATAGATTTTTAAAACAACTGAAGAAAAAGGATGAAACACACACAGGTTTGCTATGTTTTAGCTCTAATATATGTGACCTATTAAAATGGTGACCAATATATTTCAAAGTCTATACCACTTCATTTTTCTAAACTTACAGTAACTTCTTATAGGAATCAATATTTTTATCAAAACTAGTGACTACCATAACCTAGCAGATCAAAATAACTTAGATTTTTTGAATGCTCCATCAGTCTTCACTCAGTATTAAGGATACACCTCTTGATACAGAAGCCAGGGCTGCCTGAGCTGAGCCCCAACCCCCACCACCAACTCCACCCATGATAATCCAAGTGGCACAGTAAATCCCCAGGGAGCTGAAGCAAGTGACTATGGCTTCCTGTTTTTCGAGGAAATATACATTCCATAATGACACATGAAAACTGCCCAAAAAATTATGGAGGTTGTCATTGCAAAAATTTGAACCTAAGTTTTGGAAAATCCTCTTCATTTATATACTTCTTATCAGAGTACTTTTTATTTCCATTTCTCACTACATTGTTTCATCTAGAAATAAATGAGGTGATGATTACAATTCATAGCTATAAATAGAATATAGGTGTTGTGTGTGTCTAATTCTGTTCAGCCATGGCAGGCAGACTCTGAGGGGATAAGGTGACTGATAGCTGCACTGGGACAAACTGCTTCCTCTCAAATGCTTTTATTCTTAGATGCAGCTGTGAAAGTTGCTTTTCTTAAGAAATGCAAGGAAGCAGGACTTCTTAATGACTTATTTGAAGCAATACTAGACAAACTTCATTTGATTCAAGAAAGACTCATGGATGAGACTACTTCAGAATCAGGTATGGATACAGCAACATTTCTAGCTGAGACTTATCACAGACCTACATGTAAAATCAGATGAACCAAAAAAACAGTACACATTTTCTTTCTATGCTGTTCTCTTTTCTTTATCCCATTCTTGGATAAAATTCTTGACTTAAGATCTCTTGTGCTTTATAAATCAGTAGGATATAGATAACTCACAAATTCATTAACTAGTAAGAAGTACCTGGTGCTTTGAAAGTTGTGACGTGTGGTCCAGTGCTAAACTGAGTGGCCACCAGGAAAGTGAGCCCATTCAGAACCAGCTTCAATCACACATCTGCATCTTCCCCAGGCCTTGTTAAGATCTCAGAGAATGGCGTGTATCATTTTCTACTTCTGATTTCACTCAAATTCTATTCCTTAAAGTAAAGGAATAGAATTTACTTTTGGTAAAGTAGAAAAGAAGTTTAAACTTTTGATTGACGGTATGGTTAAATGGAACCTTTTCAGAGTGTTTGAGAAACAAGTTCCATTCCATTTAGGCAAGCTCTAACCACTTAGCCCTCTTAAAACCTATAATTATGAAGTTAAAAATGTATCAAGAGGGCTATAATGAAAGTTTGTTAGTATGTGTTTTATACAACAATGCAACATAATTCTTTATTGAACATATTATAGTATTATTTAGATGTGCATCTTTAAAAATCAACATCTGTAAATACATTAAGTTCACCACTAGAAGAAATCCAACTGTTTTTCACCATATGATTAAGTCCATTTACCCAGCTTACCCACCCAATTTCCCCTTCCCTTCTGGTAACTATTAATTTGGCCTTACAGTCTAAAAGTGTTTTATTTCATTTCTTCCTTTGTATGGTTTCTTTATATATCACATTAGTAAAATCATACAATGTTTGTCTTCATCAGCCTATTTCACTAAGCTTAATAATGTCTCTGTCCATGTGTGTTGTTGCAAATGACAGGGTTTCATTTTTTTATAGCTAAGTAGTATTTCATTGTGAATATATATCAATCTTTATCCAGTTAACTGTGGATGGGCACTTAAATTGTTTTCAATTCTTGGCTATTGTATCTAATTTGCAATAAATATGGAGGTACATGTAGCTCTTAGTGTATTTGTATTTTTTGGTTAAATACCCAGCAATGGGATAAACCTATTTTATGGAAATTCTGGTTTTAGTTTTTTCAGAAATCTCGTATAACTTCGCATAATGATTATACCAATTTATTATAATTCCAAAAACAGTGTTCAAGAGCTTAAAAGGTATTATTTTATAGGACAAAACCCCAAAAGAGAAATTAAGAGCAAACATTTCCAAAAGCACATTCATTACATTCTTTTACTAATTTACTCTTTTCTCTAGACCAAGTATCTTTCAACTTGATCATGCCTGTCAGCATCACCTGGAGGTCTTGTTAAAACACAGGTTGCTGGGTCTCAGATACCTGGAGTTCGGATTCAGATGATGTGCTAAGAATTTGCATTTCTAGTGAGTTTCCAGGTGATGCTGCTGGCACTGCAGTCTCACACTAATGTTCTGCAGCAGGTGGCTGCTATTGTTCCTTGTTTTGGGTTATTTGTGTTTTGAGGTGTTTCTGTCTGCATAATTTATTTAAATTACAATTGAATGCTTTTTCTCCCTCCAGACTATGAAGAAATTGGGACTTCACTTTTTGATTGTACATTGTTTGAAGACACATTTTTTGATTTTCAAGCAGGTATAAGTTAAAGCTGAGCGGCAAACTTTATAAATATTTATCTTACATGTGGAAATACTACTCCTTGGGTGGTTAAAAATCATTTGAAAAGAATGTTCATTGCTTTATTAAATGAAAACACCATTAAAAATGGTGTGCCTCCCTGGTGGTGCAGCAGGTTAAAGCTCAGCACTATGAAGTTATCGCAGCCACTGAAGCCTGAGTTCAATCCCTGGCCAGGGAGCTGACCCACATGGCACAGCAGACCTCTCCTGACCCATCCACTCTTCTCTTCAGCAGTATATTTCAGTCCATCTGCCTGTTCTGATCCCCACTCTGTGTCCAGTGAATCCTCTCACCCCCCCCCAGCTAGCCTGTACCCCAGTTCTGTATGCATAATCTTTAAAAAAAAAAAAAAAAAACAGGGTGGCCCCTAACATACAGAAGGAAAAAAATTAGAGAGATGCTGCACCCAAAGCAAACAGCAGTTGCCAGGAGGTGTCTTTTGTCTTTAGTGCTACATGTTATTTCCCACATTTTCTACATAAAGATAATACTTCTGTAATTAGAAAAACATTTGAAAAAACATTTAGAAACAAAATTGTTTGCAAAATGGAAGAGTATTTGGGCGCCTCCGTTTTTAGGCAAAAGTCTGGTGAAGCAAGTGGCCACAAGTGTCCCTTCTACTTTCAGTTCTCCCAACACTGATCTTCAAATCTGATGAGGTAGTATGGAACTGAATCTACAGTTTGTGGGTGGTGGTGGGGGGAGGATAGAGGGGAAATGAGTGAAAATAAAGAAGAAATTTTTGGAAAAAACTCAGTGAGGTATTTCTATAACCTGTTCACCATCATTTAAAATGCCTCCAAAACAGGCTGAATTTCCACCTACTCGTGAGTGTCATCTAGTTTCTCTACCAAGGCTGCCACACACAGCTGGGCAGCTGGGCAGCTGGACATTCTACATCTGGCTACACAGATTAGAATTTGGTACCGATGGCTTCCCTGAAGTTGCATACACACCGTCCTACATTCTTTTCCATGACACTTTTGTCTGTTGAGCAAACGTATTAGGATAATAAGTTCCCCTCTGGAGAAACTTCTGGTCCATATCCTTGTCTCAGTACACACAAGCCTTTCTTATTTTTTCATGATTTGTAACCAGCAGGAAAAAGTTATTTTAACTTACCCAAATTTGTAACTCTTAACAGTCACTTGAAAATATCTGTATGTATGAGAGGAGAAGCCAAATATTTTTTTAAGGGGAGTCTTTAAAATCTTATTCTAAAAAGCTTTATTTTCATCATATTTTCAGGCTTTCACCATATTTTCTTTTAAAGATTTATTTACTTACGCATATAAGAACTGGGGTATAGGCCAGAGGTACGGGGGCGAGAAAGAACATTCACCAGAGTGGCGAGCAGAACAGGCAGATGTACTGAAAGGGGAGCAGCGGGCAGGTCAGGAGAGGTCTGCCATGCTATGTGGGGCAGCTCCCTGGCTGGGGACGAACGTGCTGCAGTGGTTGTGGACAGCTTCACAGTGCTATGCTTTAACAGGCTGTGCCACTAACATGATAATTATCTATATTTCCTTTCTACAAAAGAACCTACATATAAATGCTACATGTCTGAAACATGAGTTAGTTGGGATTCCATACATGACAGTGTAGTATTTTGGGAGTGTGGGGACCAAGAGGAGACACTATTTGGAATCACATGAGGTGCTTAACTTTTGATATCCTATTGCTTAAGTTAGCCTTTGTAACCTTCAGAAAGTCAACCATAAGTATATAGGTATTCTATAAAAGGTTATATATGTTTCAGTATTCTTCAAGTTTGAAATTTTAAATGTCATTTTAAAAAATGACATTGCCGGCCCTCCCTGGTGGCGCAGCAGGTTAAAGCACAGCACTGAGAAGCTAAAGCCACTTCCGCATGAGTGCGATTCCCGCCTGCCCCAGAGGTGACCACGTGGCGTGGCAGACCTCTCTTGACCCGCCCGCTGCTCCCCTCAACAGTTTACCTCGTAGATCTGCCTGTTCTGCTCCCCGCTCTGTCTCTGGTGAAGCCTCTCACCGCCCCTGAGCCTCTGGCCTGTAACCCAGTTCTGTATGAACAAATAAATAAATCTTTAAAAAAAAAAATGACATTGCCATTTTTGTAATACTGTTGTTTATAAAGCCTAACATAACCTCCCAAAGTCTCTATAAAACCTATTTTTAAATAAAACCAAAAGCATTTATGTAACATTAAGAATTTGATGCATTTTTAAAAAGATTTATTTATGTATGCATACAGAACTTGGGTATAGGCTAGAGGTGCAGGGGTGGTGAGAGGATTCACCAGAGAAAGAGTGGGGAGTAGAACAGGCCGACTAACGAAATACACTGCAGAGGGGAGCAGCAGATAGGTCAGGAGAGGTCTGCCGCGCCATGTGGGTCAGCTCCCGGGCAGGGATCGAAGTCATGCTGAAGAGGCTTTAGTTTCTTAGTGCTGTGCTTTAACCTGCTGCGCCACCAGGGAGGGCCCTTTGATGCATTTTTATGAGAGAACTACTCTTATATTCTAACCATATGTGCTCTCCAATTATCCTAACTCTCTCAATAAATGAATATAGCATGAAGGTTATACAGTCAGTTTTTAAGTTTTTAAAAACAGGCAAAAGGGACTTAGAAAAAGCTACAAATGTATAGGGAATCTTAAAGATTTACTGACCAGCTTTATGTATGACAAAACTAGAATTCTATTCTGAATTAGAAGAGGAAACAAAGGCATAAAAGAACCTGTTACTGCTCACAAGACTATTAATTCGGAGCACAACATTGTTGCTACGCACTTGCAAATGGAAAGGGTTAGAATTAGAAACAGTATATTATTTATAAAAGTACTGAATAATCTAAAATATCACATTTTTCCTTATAGCAATAGAGGATAAAATACATCAATCTGAAGAAAGCCTGCAGCAGTTGAAAGAAGAGACTGAGCTACTTCAGGACTTAAAGCAAAACTTGTGTTCTATTCAAAGAAATAGAAACCTCAGGTCAAGTTCTACTGCAATATCTTCTCAATCATCTTACAAATTTCCAAAGTCAGGAAAGCAGGCATAGTTGCAAGCAGGCAGGCCACATACGCCAACCAGTGAAAGCCACACATCTTTAAGACTAGGTTTCTCTTGTTGCATTAGTCTGCAGACTTCACTTCTCACTAGTTCTGAGTCTTACTGGTTGAGATTTTGTGCCAGATTGGGTGTTGAATGCCTTCCTTATCATCAGGCCTACCTCTCCTCTCCCATTTTTAAATTTTACTTGAGTATATTGGATATGCCTCCCATCTCTCCCACTCTCTGCACTGAAAATCCTTTGGTAGCATCCATCTGGTGCATGGTCTCTCACTTCTGCCCCCACTCGAGTGATCCAAGTTGATTCCAGTAACAGGCCAGGCGCTGTGCCCCAGGTGATTGCACATCCTGTTGTGATGTCCGAACTGCTGTGCCTCAGGTCTCACCTCCCAGTTTCCCAATTACTACATCTAAGGATACTTTTCCTCCACAGCAATACTCAGTGCAATCCACTGTTTCTTATGCCACACTGTTAAAGAGTATAAGCTCTTGGAGGCCAGGAACTCACTATTCCCAGAATGCTCTATAAATATCTATTGAATAGCTGAATAATAAATGCAGAAGTTGTTATTTTTAAGACTAGTTCCAGTTCATAATGACTCTTTATAAATTTGAAACTTCTACTTTTCTTGAATCAAATTTACCTCTCTTATTGTCACAAAGTTTGCTTTTTAAATTTCTTTTCAGACAGATACTACATAGGTATACATCATCTTCAAAATAAACATTTAAAACTGGGTACCTCAGTAAGAATATCAGTGGGCATATGCAACAGTAAAAAACAAAACTGAGTTAGGATTGTTTTCAATCTAACAATATTTACACTTTTATGTTCCAAAACCATGTGTCACCCCTGAAAACCTCATTCACACTTCTAAATTTCTACCACAGTACTCTGATTCATAATCATGCTACATTTCAAATGAGTTTGACCTGACTCCCCAGCATGATGTCTGGGACATAAGAAATCAGAAAATTTGACTGAAGAAAGAATATGCTATATAGATGAAAAAAGAATATGACTATTCCTATTGCAACAGCAACTCTAGTCCAAGTTACAACCTGAGAAACAAAATCTAAATCAGTGGTTTTCAAAATTTAAATGACCTGTGGCACTTAATCTATAAAAGTGAAAACTCCAGAGTTTCCAGGCCCACTGAAGATTTCCCCTGGTCTGAATGATTATTGTAACTTTAACTTAGTCCACTGACATTACATCCTATAGCAAAGCTTGTGTGAATAAATTTTGATGTCAAGATCTTTATTAAAAGAGGTGTCTCTCACTTTTCTTTCAAATGTGATCTGTAACCTTGATTTGGCACAATGGAGCAATGTGCTTGGCAATTACAACACAAGCTACTATCAGATAGGCCTTAAAGCCTACCTGGATTTACACATTAGCTACTATTCACTGGAAAAACCATACTCAGATGACATAGTCTGAACATAATCTTCCTAATTCTGCTCTCTAGTCTGAGCCTAATTATGGTAAAAAGTCTCAACACTAAAAAAGAAAATACATGTAAAGTACAGGGCACAGTGTCTGGCACATGGGAAAATAAAAGCCCTCAAACATACACACATACACCACATATCCTTCCCTTGCCAACATTTCCTCCTAATGGGTCCTAACTTGTGTTCTCCATTCTTAACATATGTGCTTATGGTAAACTCTGGAAGGTTCATTAGCCTTACCCTCTATGCCCGCTTGCGCCACTTACCTTGTGTTCTGGAAATGAGCTAAAAGGACCATTTGTTTTCCCACACATAGACCCATTAGGAGGAAATGTTGGCAAGGGAAGGATATGTGGTGTATGTGTGTATGTTTGAGGGCTTTTATTTTCCCATGTGCCAGACACCGTGCCCTGTACTTTACATGTATTTTCTTTTTTAGTGTTGAGACTTTTTACCATAATTAGGCTCAGGCTAGAGAGCAGAATTAGGAAGATTATGTTCAGACTATGTCATCTGAGTATGGTTTTTCCAGCATCTTCAGAACAGCGGCTTCTCATATTAACTATTATCAACAGATTTTCTCACTGTTATGAAAAGCTGTTATTGTTTTAATTCCTGAACTTAACTCTCTTCTCTCCTAATATCTTATATATTCCTTGAGGGGAGGAATTTATTTTTTGTTCATTTATAACTACTCCCAAAGGATTCAGATATATTTTCTGCTATAACACTCCAACAATATTATCTCTCAGGAGGAATAAAACAGAAGGATTTCTATGGATGTGGGAGGGGTGGGGTTGTTGAAGAGGGGTGGGGTTGTTGAAGAACAGCCTATTCACTCACTGTGGTGCCTGTTTTCTAGCCTGAGACCTGTTAAAAATCACAGCACTGATTTTTTTTTAAGAACTGTGGCAAAATATAACAATTTCACATGATGACCACGTTTGACTGTACTATTCCACTGCATTCACATTTGTGATAGCATCTCCACCATCCATCTACAGAACACTCATTTTGCAAAATGAATTCTGTACCTGTTCAACATGAATTCTGCATTACTTCCTCCTCTCCTGCTCCTGGTAACCACCACTCTACTTTCTGTCTCTGTGAAGTTGCTGACCCTAGGTATCTCGTAGAGGGGGGTTGTATAGGATTTGGCCTTTTGTGACTAGATTTAATTCACTTAGTGCTGTATGGGTCAGAATTTCCTTCCTTCTTCAAACTGTTTATTAACTGATTTTTGAGGGGGAAAAGAACAACTCTATATCTGTTTTAACAGATTATTTTATTTATTAATGTATTAGTCTGAACATTACATAAATACAGCCTATATTCTAGAGTATCAAACATTATTCCAGTAAGAAGTTCAAGAGTAGATGAAGGGCTAATTTAAGAAATATGAGTACTTTGGCTTTCATTATTACACCAGATGAAAAAAGCAACTCAAAGAATAGTTTTCATCTCCTGCTATAACTAGCAACAAAAACCAGTAAAAAAATAACAGTATTAAAAATAAAAGATACTCAATAGGACACTTCTATTTTTTTCCTACATACATACTCATACAAATTACACAGTAATCTAACATAAGAAGTGGTTCTTCACTTACATTACGAACTCAGTAAATATTTGTTGAATGAATTATCTATGGGAATGGATATGTGTGTGTGTGTGTGTGTGTGTGTGTACATACACACACACACATACACACACTTTAGTTTGTGCTTTTGGGAGAAATTTTCTTTTTCAAGTAAGAGCAATAGTAAACATACTGAAGTTCCTGTGTTGTCCTAATTATAAGCCTACAGAATAGTGATTGTTATAATCATAGTTAATAACCAAATTTGTATTTACCAAGCTAAGAAAAGTCATATCATGTTTCAGAACTAATTCTAACCTAATAATTCAATAGGCTTCAATCACTTACAATATAGTATAAAAAAAGAAGAAGGGGAGCGGGGGGAAGCAGGGCTTCTAGGTTTGCTATTTATTTCACCTATCAATGAATTCCTATCTTTCATCCATCATCCCCTTTCCCAACACACCTCAAAAATGTCACTAAAAACAGTAGCTGCAGCATCTCTTTGCAATTTTTAGTTCCACTCTAAAAAGATACTTGGGCTTTGCATTCCAGGCAGAGACCTTAGATGGGAGAGCAGAGCAAAGCTTTGTTCTAAAGCAAGCTCAGCAGACACATAAAACACAACTGAAAAGTTCCTTTTAAATAGAAACTTCAGGAAAAAACCATCATTTGATCATGTTTTTAAATTAAATTGTACTTAATATTATGCCTAGTACAATTAAAAAGAGCAATATCAAAAGTGAAAACTGGTAAATTTTCAAATAAGCAAATTTGTGATGATATTTTCCTAGAGTTAGAACAACTTCCATTAAATCCTGTAAGACAGTTGATTCTCAAAAGCTATTCCTTTAAGTCAATGTAACAGATTTGAAGATTTAGCAGAGATAATTTAGGGAGGCAAGAAGATATTGAATGTGTCATTATTTTCCTCTTATGTTAGCATGTATAGGAGGAGAGGGGAAATTTAAACTTGAGTTCTTAAATTTCATCTTAATTTAACAAACCACAGTTAGGTAGTAGTGGAGAGTCTAATTTATAAAATTCACTTTTGTCCAAAGAAAGTTTATCAACTTTTCACAGATAGTTCTAAATTAGTATGATTTATGTGCTTAAATCTCAAGCGACATTTTGGCTAACCTAGAAATGCATCTTTACATAATTATTTCAATAGGTTTAATTCATATTAAACTGAATATTATTTTGATACACCTTGAGGTTAAAGAATGTCATCAGTAGTGCAAACTCACAAACAAAAACCTCCAATGACTGTGCCTGATCCTTCACAGTAAGGCTGCTGTGTCAGCAACTAAGGCAGCACTTCAGCAAGCCCCAAAATCAGGGCCTTTAATTCAAGGTAGGGCCTCTCTACCTCACAATTTGCACACTAGCCCAATTCCTGGTATCAAAAGGGTTGTTGATATGTGAGCCAGGAAACTTGCCTCAGATTTCCTTTTTCCAAGTTCAGACGTTCCTCCAAGCAAGAACAAAAACAACCAGCTGAACTTTCACCCTTTTACAATGTTCCAGCCAAATATAAGGTCACATTTAAAATATACACATCTGGAAACAAGTATTGTTTAAACTAGGCTCTGGAAAAGCCATACTTCACATATTCCTACACAGAGAATGGTGTCTCAGATGTAGGAAAAATATCACCTGATGGGTTTTTACCTGCAGAATTACATTGCCCGCAGAGCACAACCGACACACCATCACCCATGCCCCAGAACACTCACACAAAACCCAGCAGCCTTGGGCTTCAGTTCTTAAAGGCTCCACATTTACTGGCTTTAGCAATGAATTCCTTTAGCAGAGGGCCATCCATTTGCCAAAATGCTGCAGTCTGTGTAACTTCTGTCAAATGATTGATGCAAAACTTAAAGCAGAATTCTTCTAAATCCTGGACACACACAACAAAAATAAAAAACAAGAAGAGGCCTTTTTTTATTAACTTCAATTGAATTCTCACCAAACCCCTCACCCCAAGTCTCTCACCCTCCCCAGAAAGGATACTTGAGGCTAGAAACTTCAAACTACGCAAACAAGTGACCACAGACAGGTGTAAGTAAAAAGATGTACCATTTGCTAAAGGCACAATAAAAGCAATGGTTCCCCTACCTCAAGTCTGACTCTTCACAGCACACATACAATCTGGGGGAGGGGGGGCGTTTCCTCCTGGTTGTCACAGTTATACTCAAAGACACTGTTTTAAATAGCTGAAAGTGATTTTAGTCCGTATCAGGAAGTCAAAGAAAAGAATTAATTCACTCTGATTCAAGAAGTCAGAGGAAAGAATTAAGATGCAGGTTATTTCATTTAAGGAAGCAAAGACTTTAGAGATGTGAAGAGATGTGGTCAACTCAAAGTGACACAATGAGAAAAAGCCCAGGACAATAAATTCACTTGCATGCTCTCCTAATTAAAAATACCTTCACTTTACGATCCAACAAAAGTAACACACTACAACCTTCACCACACTAATTTCTCAATCCAGAAAATACTCCTAACATGGGATATTTCAGTCAAACAAATGGAAATCACCAACTACCAGCATCAAGAAGGAAAGTAAGGTATAAAGTGGTAAAGCAGGACTTAAAAATCTATTTCTGCCTATGCTAAAATACCCTTTCATTCCCAGCAAAACTCTATTATAATGCTGTTGCATTCCTTCAAATGTTGGTATATATATTAAATCAATTAGGTGCCTGGGATGAATCTTAGAGAAAGCCAATTTGACTTTTCTCCCAGTGCAGTACACTCCAAAGTGAATCATTATTCATTTGTTTCTTAATTGAGGTAACATTGCCTTATAGTACTGTGTATGATTTAGGGGGACATTTGTGCTTTCAATAGACTCCCCCCACTCAAGAAGGCTGAATGCAGAACTGAGTGTCCTGTATACTACAATAAACTGTTAAACCCACTCTCATTAAAGAAAAAGCATTATTGCTGGTATTATAAACCAAAGGTTAATAAATAGCTCTGGGGGCTAAAGTATATTCCACGGGAAATATATCAAAAATAGAAAATAATTTATCTGCATCTAACTTAGGAAGTAGACAGTTATAAGTACAGACTTCTTGACACCATATATAAAATCTTTAACATTAGTTTAGTTATATAATTTCAAAGGAAGTGAAGTGTGTACTGAAGTGTGGCATTGTAAATGCCTATAGCTTCTATGTGTATTATTTGGAATTCAAGAACTTTTCTCATATATATATGAAAAGTATATTCATTTAAATAACTATACAGATTACCTTGAGCATAAACTTTAAGAACTGTTAAAGTACAATCAAGTATACAGTGGTGCTTCTAATTACAAATCAATTCACATAGCTGTGAAAGTAGTTCAAATTGTTTTCCCCTTCAATTAGTTTGAATTAGTGAGATTTCTCAGTATTCAGAAATGTTTATCAGATTCAAACATTAATCTGAACTGTTTAAATCTGAACTGTTCAAGTAACTAAACTCTATTTTAAAAAAACTTTAACTAAACCCTGGTTACAGCAAATCTATGAACAAAGAAGTAACGAATGCAAATGGAAAGAGAAATTTGAATTTTAAAGTTCACTGACATGAATCAAATTGGCACAGCCAACCAGATTCACTTAGCAACCAATGCCCCGCGTCAGTTTGCCTTGAGTACATAGATGAGATGAATATCCTTCTGATTATTTCTTAAACACTGTAAGAAACTAATAATCTGTTCATTCCATTCTGCAAGTGGTCAGGTGGACCTTCGATTTCCTAGAAAATAAAATACAACTCTAACCTAATATGTCAATTATAATAAGACTGCTGGATTTTAAAAAAAAAAAAAATTCCATAGAGGATGAGGAGGGTCATTTAACCAGGAGGTATAAATAGCTCATGATCAAAAGTCTTCTCCAGGCTTTGGGAAGTAGGCGAGAGAATAAATTCAAGGAGTCTAGTTTGCTATTCTTGGTATTTTAGAAACTAAAATACATATTTATGACATTTTGTGGTAAGATTACTTTATAGAGGTAGTAAGGAAAATAAAAGACCAGGTTTGCTATAATTAACAAAGAAGATCCAAATAAAAACTACTTTTTTTGACATAAGCTACAAATTCACTCCAAATTTTCTGATGTTTAAATTATTCTAATAAATGTACATACACCAAAAATAAGTTGTTTTTCCTCCCCCACAAACTTTAGCAACAAAACAGAACAGAAAATTTATGGTCCTAATATCTAGATTACATTTTTAAATGTTTTGTAGCCTCTGATGGCATTCTGATGCAGTCTTAACACTGAAATTACTGAACATTGACTTCTGTGGAAGGTGACTTGGCCAGAGTGGAACAGGGCACCACTGTGTTACAGGCCACTCTGGAGACATATTAGATGCAAGATATTGTGAGCCAGACCTGTCAAAATTTGGTTAAAGAAACAAAACCTGAAAACCATAAATCTAGAATTATTTTATTGTATGTAAGTACAAAAATAGTCCTGAGAAAAGTGAGTTTTGTTTCTATTTTTTAGAATGTACATAAAAGTCATATAGGAAAAAATAAAGGTGCTTCCTCTCACAACCCCATAAATATTTAAGTCTACTGATCATGGGGAAATGTGGCCCTTTAAAAAAAAACTATAATGACTATCTGGCTTTAGCACTAGCATTCCCAACACTCACATTTCAAATAATTTTGGAATCAGATCCCTGGGCTCATATTGTTTTGCTTCCCACCAAAAGCAAACTTCTCATTGCTTACTTAGCAAGTAACATTTTCTGTAAAGTTCTGTTTTGGTTAAACAAGCAGTATTCTGTTTCTGCTAATGTTCAAATGTACATAGAAAACAAAAATTTCCTGAAAACAGTACAAAAAGAAGCATTGCACAGCTTTTAAAACATGATACAGAACTACCCTGAGACAATGTTTGATTCACATTTTTCTCCCTGATACCAACATTTATTTGGCTTACACCAGAGAAATATTTATGTGTTCCTTCTCCAAGTCTTTCTTCATTAAAACATGCAGAAAGTTGACAATGCATTCATAATGCAAAGGTTCAAACCAGATCACTACTGAAAATATTCACAACTACTGAGTTACTATATTGATGTTGTGTTTCTGTGTACATCTGTTTCAAAGTTTTTTTTGTCAGAAGAGGGTATGGAAAAACTAATAACTTTTATAGAAGAAACATGGTTAGCATGTAGGCTCCAGCTTCCTAGCATTTCAACCCAGAGATGAAGGAAAAGTCATCTAGTCTCTCAAGTTGAACTTCTGAAAACAAGAGTTTCTACAGTTTATTTCCAACCTGACTTTGTAGATACAGTAGTTTTATTTTTACATTATTTTATATAGACTTCACTTATTATTTACTACATCCCATAGCATCAAGGAAATAAAATGTAATAATTCCATTGATCATCATATAATCCTTCAAAAAAAAAAATGTATACCATCTAGAGAGAGATCATTCTTTCTGCCATCTATATTCTAATTTTCCTACATTAAATATATATTATTTGTAGAGTTGTCAGTTGCTTTTTCTTTTCCATTTTATGCATTTTAAAAAGCATAACTTGGGATAGGAGAGGGAGGGAAAATTTTTTAAATAGTAAAAAGTATACTTTTCTGGTGGGATACTTCAAATATATTCATCCCTTCATTCATTCAACTCAACATATATTTTTGAGGGAAAACTATATGCCATACAGGACAGTCACATGCTTTTGGAATGGGTAGAAATGGCATAAGACTTTCTGAGGTTTATTTTAGCTGAAAGAAAGTTTCAACATCTAGATGGGGAATATTTGCCTGTGCCAAGGTGGGTCTGACTGGTTTTAGTAAGCAAGATCCTAACCCCAAGAATAAGGAACTCATTCTCAATGAGGATAAGTGTGGAGAAAAATAGGAGATTCTAAAATCAATTAGCAAATAGAAAAGGCATTGACCAACTTAAAATTATATTATTGGGTGTAAATGAAATGAGGAAATAGCATTTCTTATAATAAAGAAGTTCATGGTATCAATAAAAGGGGTGGGAAAAACCTATACTCCCATTTCCTCTTAAAAATGCTCATTTCAGGGCCTCCCCTGGTAGCACCATGGGTTAGGACTCAGCTCTGCAAACTGGCTGCAGCCGCTTCAATGCAAGTTCGATCCCCAGCCCTGGAGATGACTCACATGGCATGGCAGACTTCTCCTGACCCGTCCGCTGCTCGCTTCAGCAGTGTACCTCATCAATCTGCCTGTTCTGCTCCCAACTCTGTCTCTGGTGAAGTCTCTCACCACCCTTATACCTCTGGCTTGTACCCCAGCTCTGTATGAATAAATAAATCCTGAAGAAAATAACAAATGCAATACGTTTTTAAAAAGATCATTTTATCTGTTGAAGGAGCTGCAGAGAAAGTCAACTATATTTAACCTTATCTCAAATTCTTATAATCTCATAAACAGGACACATTTTTAAAATAAAAAAACATGATGGTCCATTTGAATCGCAAAATGAGACAAAAATGGAGTCTGTCTTCTACCACATTTCCAAGGCCATAAGCTGCAGATTTTCAGATGTGTTTGTTAATTTCCTGATATTCTGCCTCATCATACCTATAAGAACAGACTAATTATGCCATTTAACCTTAGCTAGACATCAAAACTCTAAAGCTGCCACTATATGTCTTGTCTTGTCTATGAATTTATAAAACCCACCACACTAGTCTTTAGTTCACTATCCTTAATGCAGCCTTCAAGTTGTACATTTATTCAGTTCAATAAACATATATCACCCTGTGTCTGCTACATCCCGTTTAAACTATGGGGTACAAAGACCAATAGAATACAGTTCCTGCTCGTAAGGAGCTTACAATCTGATATTTTGGTTCTTAACTTCTGGAAAGTGCACGTGAACACAAAATTTCATACTCCCAAAAGACCATTCGTTCATAGGCTCTCTAAAGATCCATGATTTCCACGCTAAGAATTTAAGCCATTGTAAAAAAACAAACAAAAAGGAGTCCAGAGCCAGTTCTTCACATGAATTATTATGAGTTATAATTAGACAAAAACAGAATTTCACAGCACATATACACACATATAAATCACACAGCATCCTTGACTTATCACAGGGTAGAGTTGGGGAGACAGTAAAGTGAGGTGTTGGAAAAAAATATATGCTGACCTTGACAATATTTGAAACTATTCTGTCTATTAGTCCAGTTAGGTGTGGCTCTTAATATTCCAGCCTGCAGCAAAGCTGCTGAAACCTCAGTTTCTAAGATCAGTAAAGAATGCACGTAGAGGAACAATAAACTATGAACAGAGAATAAAGAAGCAAGATCAGATTTCATTTTTTAAGGATCAGTTAGTTCACTGATTCCCTAAATAGCAGTGAAGATGTCTCTTGTGAAAACAAAGGGGGAAGCGAGCACACAGAGCACTAAGGGCGGTGGCCTGGCCGTTCTTTTATGTTACCTCTGCATCATATCTGACCGCAGCGGAGAACAATGAAAAGGCATTCTCCACAGTGATCCCTCGCTTGATTATATGCTGGCAAAGTTTTTTCAGTCTGTTTTCACAATAAGACGTTGCCAAATCCAAAAGACCTAAAAATAAAAGTATGCAAAGTTTACTTAATATTAAAATAATTTCTCACAAGTTATAATCATATATATTTATTTTAGTGAACTGACTCAAGTAGGTAAGACAGCAGAAGTTTCTTCATGAATAATTCTCTGAATTTTATTAAATTCTTTTACTCCCTTTAACTCCCAAATATTTCTATCATACTCATTTTACACAATTTTTTCTATAGTACAAAGACAGGAGAAAAGATAAAATCTTTGCCTCCATTTTTGGTTCTAAATGATATGCTAAATTCATTAGCATCTTGTACTTCAGAATTAAAGTAAGTCAATAATCATAAGTAAACTGTGCCTGTAATTATCAGCCATGGCAATAACACAATACAGTTTTTAGAGACATTTACTTCAAATCTTTATAGAAAGATGTAAAAGCCAATAAACCTAAATTTTTTTATATTTCAATGCCACTAAGAACACAGGAGATGTGGGTCTGACCATGGTCAGCCGCCCCACGTGGCCAGTACCTATAGCGTCTTCCGGTGGCAGGTCCACGGAATCTGTGTAGAGATACTGGAGGAAGGCGCGGTACACAGGGTAGGAGAACTGGTCTATTTCTATTACCTCCTTCATGTCCTCATTCCAATAAGACTGGAACATGGATCGAAAGTGCTCACACCTAAAGCAGAGCAGCAAAAGTAACCTAATTTAGTTGACTGAAGCAGATGAACAACTATTTGGCTGTCCTTCACCACATCTGCCCTGCCTCCACGGGATGGAGGGTCTCCAGCCAGCACCCTGAGCACAGCCACAGGCAGGGGCCTCTCACACTTTCACTTTTGACAAGCACCTCCTCTTAAATATTAAAAATCAGACTGAGAGCCTAGGTATACCCAGTGTGCCAGCAGTACCCTGTTTCCACCTGACTGGCCCCAGTCACCTCACATTTTTGTGACCACTTGTTTCTTTTTTCCAAAGCTACTGTACAGATAGGCATTTCAAACTAAAATTAAAGGAAATTCAGAAATGAGCACAAATCTCGACTACATATTGGTATCACTTAAATTATTCTTTTGGACATGCAAAGTACAGTGTTAGAAGTGATTTAAATGTGAACTGAGCTATGTTTAAGCTGATTGTTGTTGCATTACCACACACAATCATTGATCGGATGTCCCACAGGGCTAGGTCAGCACTGCTGACTTTGAGAGTGTTGTCAGGGGAAAATGAATCTTTAAAAGGAGGATCATAAAAAAATGGAGCTTCCATATAACCCAGCAATCCCAATCCTAGGTATCTACCCAAACGACACAAAAACACTGACTGAAAAAGATACCTGCACCCCCATGTTTATTGCTGCTTTGTTTACAATTGGAAAAACATGGAAGCA